AAGAACATGCAGCTATGGGTGTAAACTGAGCTACAGATATCACACGCCCCTAAAACATGCAAAACCAGTGTTATTAAACATTCAGTACTGTGGACAATCCCCACAGGAGCAATTTGGGGTGAAGTGTCTCAGGGACACAACGACATGCTGACTGCAGTGGGGTTAAGTGTTGATTTGGGAACGCTGGTGTTGGTGTTTTGTTTCGCGGTAAAAATTGTTGCATATCGTCGTTAGCCCTGAGTTTCTTCCCGTAAGTTGGGTATTGGGCTACCCAATGAAGCGGTACGGTTGCTTAAATGTCTCAACAAACCCTGGGATGCGTGTTTCTACAGAGTGCCCTGGTCTGTGAGCTGTCTGAGTTTGTTTAGGCAGGAAGAGGAGAACCCCAACAAAGTCACACACCTGGGAGTGCGATGACAGTGCAAAAGCCCTCACAGATGGCGCATTACCACGATGAGCTGCCTGATCAACATGGATGGGGGAGCGGGCCCGCGTCGACTCACTAGCTCACTGGCTGGAGGCGTGGGTATTATAAAGACCGAAATTTATGACACGAGGGCGACGGGAGCAGGAATGACGATTGCACGGAGATGCCGATATGGAAAGAGAAATATACAAGGCGAGGCAGGGAGCCAGGGCGGTGAAGAATAAGGTGGAGGAGGTTGACAGGGTATGGGCAGAGAGAGAGGAGAGAGGATTCGCTGCCGTTGTGGAACACACTGACGCTGCGGCTCATCACAATTTGAAGAAGGCTTTCAGGATAAAGAGGTGTGTGTGTGGCTGTGCCTGTCGTGTGTGTGTGGTGTGTGTGTGTGTGTGTGTGTGTGTGTGTGTGTGTGACCTGTTGTGTGTTGTTGGGTTGGTGTGTGCTGCTGTGTGGTGTGTGTGTGTGTGTGTGTGGGTGTGTAACGGCTGAGAGAGCCTGGCCAAGGCCCAGACAACACACAAGCAGAGTTGCCGCCCTGTAGTGGACGGAGAATTGCGCACTTGGGGCGCTAAGGTGTGTGACTGGTGAAGTCCTGTCTGGCGGTGTTCTCTGCCTCGATAATTGCACAACCTACTCTACACATGTGGTGCTGCTTGGTGCTGTGTGGTGTGTGTGTGTGGTGTGGTTGCGGTTGTGTGGTTGGAATCTGTGGTGTGTGCCTGTTGGTGTGTGGCCAGGTGTGGTGTTTTTAAAATGGTTTTTTTCTTGCAAAGAGGCGTGTTCACTGCCAGCGAGGCAATAGAGGACCGATGGCGGTTCTGGAGAGGTCTTTAGCGAATACGGGTCTCCTTGCCTTCCTCTCCCGAGTCCCGGCTTTCCGGAGGCCTTGTTTGGGACGAGGCTGAGGACGGGGGAAAGAGCGACGGCTGAAGGAAGCGCACGCAACGATTGTGTAGCACAACTCAGGCTCGAAAGTTTAATGCAAAACCATCGCAATGAAAGGGTGAGGAGTCAGCGGCCCCACCTGAAAAGCGCTGTAATCAATAACATCCCAGATGAATCGCTCTTATTCCTCTTGCTGAGTTTAATAATCTTTTCGAACCCACGTGTGGGTGGGCCGGTCTAGCCCTTTCATGGACATCTAGTTTCTTCTTTATCGGATGTTTTTTTTGCTCTTTACAGCGATGCAACTTTACCAAAACAGCTCTGTATAGCAGTTTGTTCTTCAACTTTTTAAAAAAAAGGAGAATTTGGCCTCGCCGCCTGCTGTGCGACAAACAGCCCGAGAAGTTAAAGTTAGTTCTGCTTACGTAATGAAGTGAGACATAGCGGGGAGAATTTAGGAAGCGACATCAGCGGAAGACACAAACTGTCACAATGCTAACTTTGTTTCCCCACAGCCTTGTCTTAATATACTGACACAGTGCACAGGTCCATCTAGTGTAAGTGTTCTTTAGCCCTGGCAACTAATTTCCTCTGGACACGTCTATACTACATCTTTACCTTTATTCACTGCATGTACGGGTTCGAGTTATTGGGCTAATGGCATACATCAACAAAAGTGCTGATGCGTATGGCATGTACACATTCTCCGATCATCTGGCTAGGATGATTCACTTACTATATATAAAAAAAAAAAAAAAAAAAATCATTATCTCTGTCATTTATCATTTTAAACCTTTACATATTATTACCCTTAGAGTGACAGCGAATCATATTTTATTAACCATCAGTCATATTCAGGAGACTATGACCAAGCCAAACACCCCTCTGTTCTTGCCATCCTAATTATAAGACTATAATCGCTCTCTTTAAATGTCCCATTACTAACGGCATTTTTAAGGGTTTTGGCTTCGATGTGTCGGTCTGAGCTTACAAACACAATAATTACAATCCCTCTCTGGGAACATCAACAACTTAAACACTGGGAATAATGACTTGATTTAATTGACGGTTAGAATAAAGACCCAATAACTCCATAGTTTCAGCCCGCGACCCTAGAGTGGATGATCCAGCTGTGAGGGTATGCGGGCGGGGTGTTTTTCTTGGGGATGACAGTTAGAATGATGCCTAATGAGGTTCCGGCTCTCGCCATCAGTCTGCGCCTCCTCTCATTAGCTGCTTTGGGTAATTCGCGCATGTTGTTTGGCTGCCTCGTGTTAAATGAATTTCTCCTCATTCCGCTGAAGTCTTTGCTGATTTCAGCAGCGCCTGCTTTGCTTTCCCATCCCCTGAGTACACAGGGAGCGGGTCTTTGGTCGATGACGCTTTCTGACTTAATGATGCTCTTCATCATGATTCGACTCATGCGCGTCATGGGCTGAGTGCACGTAAGGGCCTGGCTAACCTGCCGCGTCCAACTGCGTGGAATTGCTCCTCCTGCCATCAAAGTTCGCGCCCTTCTCTGGCCTGACGATACGCATGAAGTCGCAAAGGAAGAAGAAGCAGCACGAGTGAGGTTTGGTGATGAAGCCCAAGCAAGACGAGGATCGTGTGTGTGCCTTTTCCATGACGGCTGGTCCATTAATCACATGGGGACGGGAGAATTGGTTTCTGGATATGTATTGAAGAAACCCATGACGTGGTGTTCAGATAAAGGCATGTTGGTTGCTCCTTCAGACGACTTTGAGTGTTCCCGCTCATTTTGGAACCCATGACCTCGGTGAAACCTGCTGCCTGTAAAACTCAAATGCTGATCCGAGCGCCTCTCAGACACAGACAGTAATCTGACATCTACTTCCAGAAGCTTTGAATTAAAAAATGCTTAATCTGTGATGACGCTCTCGGCTGATTTAATCATCCTTTTGTTTTTCTATCTCTGTGCATACACATATAGAAAGTCAAATGCATCCAAACAATCTCCTCTACCATCCGTTGGTATCACTACTCATGTTTACCCATTAAGGTTTGCGGTTTGTGGTTTCTTTGGTTTGTTAAGGCTTCACACGCCCAACGCCAAACCTGTCTCCCAAGGTCAATGTTTCTGGAGCCCCACATGATTTTGGTGTGTATTCAGACGTCACGTGCTTGACGTTTCGTTCGAGGTGGTATAGCTACCAGCGCGAATAATGTGGCCGATCCGAATCGCGTGATCGGCGGCTCGGAGCCGGATCACGCTGATTTCAACAGAATGCGGAAGAATCGGGGACAAAAAAAATGTAAAAAAATTCTGTGGTATTCAATNTCAGAGTCATTACAATATATTTGTCATTTTGAAAGCTGACTACCACGCTGTAAATTTAGCACAAGGCACCAGAGGTCTGAAATTAAATCTCGAAGGATTTCCAAACAGCCGAAACAATGCAACACATGTACAGCAGACACACACACACACACACACACACACACACACACACACACACACACACACACACACACACACACACACACACACACACACACACACACACTGGACCCTGTGTTTATGACCCTCTGACTGGGAATATAATCCCTGCACTGCATCGATGATGGGATCAGAACACTGGAGAGGAGAGGAAAGCTAAATTACCAGTGATTGGATTTCGTAAAGGTTGACGCACTAATTGAGGATTCAGAGTGGGGGGTCGGGATGATGAAGAGGAGGAGGAGGAGGAGGAGGAGGAGTCATATAGATGTCATCACCAGGACATACTGGACAATACTGGTCAGACGTCATGTACCAAAACCAGAACCAACAGTTTTCATTGATGCACCTGCAAAACACGTCATCATCCAATCATTTCACTGACACTCATGCACAGCAATCTGGAAAAGATCTATGCATTAATAAGAGAACGCAAATGCCAGAATAATTTGGATTGTACGTCAGACAGATTTTATAGGAAAGCTCCCGAGTACAAAGGCTGTGAGACATCCAATGTGTGAAAAGAGTACGGAGAATTCACTGCAAGTCTTTGATAAGGTTCCTACCACAGAAAACAAACATCCAGGGGTTGAAGAAGAAGGGACATTTAGACAAAAACACCTGGAGATTCAACAACTTCTGTCCAAATCCTTGCAGCAAAATCAAGTAACAGAAAGAGACTCTTTTGTTTAAAACCAAATTAACAACCGGTTCTTTAAAACAGGTGAAATCCGTTTCATGGCTTTTTTGCCCAAGCACCACACCTCATCTGAACCAATCATATATCCAGTAAGTCTCTCTGCTGTTGTGTACTACGTGTGAGAGGAAAACCCCCGGTTATTGTCCACGTTTCATGAGGAAACAGCTCAACACTGACATGTAATTCCACTGCACGAGAAAAGAGGCTTAACTGGTGAACATCGACATATTTCATCCCGGCAAAGAAAGCTGACTCAGCCAATAACTTCTGTCAAAACAAATCGAGTCTAAATCTAGCTCCTGCAGTGATTCCATTTGACTTCTCCGTGATTTCACATCTACTTCATTCTCTGCTATTACGACACACACAGGAACCCAAAGACTGCAGCTTTCTCTATATCAATCCATCAACTGTTGCTATTAAGAAGACAGAGTCAGACAGATGGCCTCAGATGAGCGTACAGTGCGAGCCTGTTTAACATTCAAACGCATGAACCCATGGATATCTCTTACAGGTGGGAGTATAGGCCTTTAATAGGTGTGCTTGTAATGTGTTATGATCCGTGCTCGGGGAATGTGAGATGGGGGCGGCGCGTGATCACACTTGCTGTCTCGGTTTCTTACCTTGGCAGCCACCGAGGAGCTGGGTTTCTCCAGGAGATCCCAGAGTTTCTTCCTCTTGTCGGGACAGCAGGTGTTATCAAACTCGATCTCGCCCTCTCGATCTCTCATCGTCTCCGCCTCCCTGCGAAGCTCTTCGTTCATCTGCTCCTTCTTCTGGTGGTATCGCGCCTGGCAGCAGGACTCCAGGTAGATCTCGTCAATCCCCCAGTAGTCCAACTCCTGGCCGAAGGAAAGGGCGCACATCTCCTCCATCATGTGCAGTTTCCCCGTGCGGTAGAAGTTCAGGATGGAGGTGAAAGCTCCCGGGTGGCGGTCGAAGAAGTACTCATTCTCGTTGAGGCTGTAGTCGTCGCACACCTCCATCAGGGAGTCGTGGGTGTTGCAGTCTCGAAGTTTCCCGAGGCGAGTCCTGGGTAATCGGTCCAGAGTTCGCCATAAGACCTCGTGATTCAGCCCCCCAACGTTGAGGCGAACTCTGCGAGACCTTGCTTTGATACGGACGATATCGATGGGCTCAGGGGGAAGAGAAGAGTTGGACCTGATGCTCGAGGACTTCAACCCCGGTCCAATCTTCTCAGCCATGGTGATGGAAAAGGGGGAGATGTTACTCTAAAAAAACAACAATAAAAAAGTCCCAAGAATGTTGATTTATGTTGGATCCTCTTTAGGGAAGTCCCTCCATGGCTGAGGAAACAAAGAGACAGGTTATGAGATTAACATTTTTCAGTGTTCAGCATTTTTCAAGGCGGATAGATATCATCACTTTCCTCACACACCTGTTACTTAACATATCAGTCATAAACAGTAACAGCCGCACAGCGTCATTGATCCTTTCATCGCAGGGAGGTGTTAGACACAATCAATGATTTAGTTTTAACAGTCAATATGGCTGCTTTGCTTTGCACTGCACTGCTGTGTAGTGAAGCCATGGAAAACCTGCTCTCTATGCAGTCCCATCGCTCAGAGATGGATTCAGGGAGCAAGTGAACCAAAAATAAACCTCAAAATGCATTCAAGTTTCAAGTGTTCTCATTGTATGATTAAATTAATACATTTGAGGTTATTTTAATCACATTTTCTGACAAATGTAACCTCTTGCACATAATAAAAAGCCACTGTGGAGGGTTTTTAATTTGAACTGAATGATTGATATGCCCTTTGCTCTTGGATAAGTCCTCAAAATGATATAAAAAGTTGCACATATTGGAGTCTTTAATCATAAATTGTGGCAGGTTACCATTTTAATTAGAAGCAAGGCTTAACATCATAGTTCAGACTGAAGATAAGAGGATTTTCTTGAATGCAACAGTTTTTACTTTGCCTGATTCTCTGTAGCAAACACTGGCCACTACAGAGACTATTTCACTATGCAAATGGGACAGAGTGAGTAGGAGTGTGTTGGATTTAAAGCTGCATCGCATTAGTAATCCATTCCTCCTAACTTGTTCTGCAGTCCTATAAATCTCAAAGCCTTGCAGACCTGTTAGGCGATTTCTGTTGTAGGTGTTTTTAAATCCAACCCCGTATGGTGATCAGTCTTAAAACAAGCTGCACCCGCAACGTGTTCAAAGTGTCCAGAAACTGACACAGAAAAACAGTTTCTCTCACCTTGCCGAGATAAACCACCTTTTGCATGCAAACTCCTCTTGTTCCTTGGGGGAGAAGAGGGTTGAAAGGGAGCCGGGATCCCCCTCTGGTCAAGCGGCCACTGAGGAGGAGAGCAGTCCGCGGACGCCTCGCAGAGAACGCGCGTCCCACATATTTGATGAAAAACGAGTCGAAAAGAGAGGAGGAGAAAGAAGAAAACCGTGAATATCTTCCTCTACTGATGTCCACAGCGACAGAACCGGCGTGGTTTCTCCATCTGTGGAAGCAGTCCTGCCTGTTCCTACATCCGGAGGGTCTGAATCACTGTGCTGCAGACGCGTAAAAGGAGAGTGGAATGAACGGGATAATCTGCAGAGTGTCCCGCTGCACACTACACGAGGAGGAGCACCCTGCGCCACATCCTCCCAATAAAACACTAATGCAACTGGGCAGCACATTACACTCGTAACACATCCGAGTGAACCCAGATCGTCACATTTCGACATTATAGGAACAAATAAGAGGATAAAGTAGAGAGGTTTTAAACACACACGGAACGAACCATTATCATAATCAGAATACCTTAGTGGGGAAATGTACATTGTTACAGTAGAAAAGAGCCAAAGACAGCTTAATGTTACCTAAGTAGCTTGCACTAATATTTCTCTTTGCACATTACACTCCGTAACACAACCGAGTGAACCCAGATCGTCACATTTCCACATTGTAGGAAAAATAAGTAGAGAGGTTTTAAACACTCACACAAAACGTGCCATTATCAGGATCAGAATCAGAATCAGGGGAGATTTACATTGTTACAGCATAAAATAGCTTGAGTGGCTTGCACTAATATTTCTAATATACATTCTCAAAGATATTTAAGTGACTTTGACGTATATTTGATTGTTGTGTTTTTATTTAGGTCTTAATGTGTGCACATGTACAAATGTGTCCATGACTGTATATACATATTGGGACCCATATTTTTTATATACATTTGTTTTTATATTCGGGATTGTGGGAAACGGTATTTCGATCTCTCTGTCTGTACACAAGCAAACTGAAAGATTGACAATAAAGTTGACGTTGACTTGAAAGAAGTATGATAAAAAAAGAATTATGATAAAAAAAGTTACACAATTTACAAAAAACACATAACTTGATCTCATATCTTAGAAAGCTTCGTAAAGCCTGGGTTTGAAGAGTTGGCAGCAAATGAGATGCACACTTTGCCAAAGGCGACTTTTAGTGAAATGGCCATGAAGTGTAAATGCACTAAAAAGCCTGCAGCGTTTTAAAGAAACTCTAAATACAGATAAATGATTTTACTGCAAGAGAAACCCCCTCCTCCTCCTCCTCCTCCTCTTCCTCTCACACTCTGTGTTGCCACTAATTACAAGTGAAACAACAGCTAAGCATCACATGAGATGCTCACCTGACCCACAGGTAACATGATCCAACAGGAGGCTCCTGACCACTTTGACAGAGCAATAATACTCTACTTTACAGGAGTCATATTAGCTATAAATACATATTGATCTCCCACTCCCTGCTCTCAAATCAATACATCTAGATATTGAATGATGTATCTGTCATTATGGTTACCTGCACTGCCTCTGAGCTCATGTGTCCAATGTAGAAATGATATTTGCTCTCAGAGTGTGTGTGTGTGTGTGTGTGTGTGTGTGTGTGTGTGTGTGTGTGTGTGTGTGTGTGTGTGTGTGTGTGTGTGTGCACATTTCCCCTTAGCAAAGCATTTCTTTGGCAGAAATGTGATTATACACTGCATGTGTAATTGATTTTCTTGCCATGTTCCTTCCTTCCAATGACAAGGGATCAATAATGCAGCATTGACTCACCGGAGCTTGTGTGTGCACGGAGGTCCTGACTGTGTGTGTGTGTGTGTGTGTGTGTGTGTGTGTGTGTGTGTGTGTGTGTGTGTGTGTGTGTGTGTGTGTGTGTGTGTGTGTGTGTGTGTGTGTGTGTGTGTGTGTGTGTGTGCGTGCGTGCGTGCGTGTGTGTGTGTGTGTGTGTGTGTCAGTGTGTGTGTGTGTGTGTGTGAGAGAGAGAGAGAGAAAGAGGTGTGTGTGTGTGTGTGTGTGTGTGTGTGTGTGTGTGTGTGTGCGTGCGTGCGTGCGTGCGTGTGTGTGTGTGTGTGTGTGTGTCAGTGTGTGTGTGTGTGTGTGTGTGAGTGAGTTTAAAGGTCAAAGGCTTTGGCTCTGTCCAGATGTCACATAAGGATCTGTAGATATATGCAGATAACTCTTATGGTATATTTATGGCTGCGACATATGGACTTGATGAATTATTTGAAAGTGACTGCAGCGCTGTGTTGCGGCCTCAACCTCTCTGCCATGCACATGTGATTTAGCAAGAGGCTTAAATGCATCCAAGCAGCAACAACTGAGATTTCCTCCAACATCAGAGGTCGATTTTTTGGGTTTCTCACTCATTTGGGCACTTTTTATAGTTTTGTATTATGTAAATGTACTTTTTTTACTTTTGCTGTATTTAAATATTAATTGTATTGGTTAATTATTTCTTGTATTCTTTTATTATTCTATTGAATCACCCATTACTCTATTTGACTTCCTCATTATGCACAACTGTAAGAAAGTATCATCTGTCTGGAGCGCACAAGTAAAAAATTACTTGAATAAAATTACTCAATAAAAAAATGTATTAAAGTTGGATTTTTCACCCAATATTAATGGCATTTTTTGACAGCACTGAGGGTTGGTAAAGCATCTCCCTGGCTGCTAATTGACAGATTAAATTAACGATGGGACAGAGATGACACAGCCGTTAATTGCTGGTGCTACAGAGGAATGATGAGGGGTGATTAACTGTGTCCCCGGCCATTGCTTATGATCAAACTGGCAGCCAATCAGCCCTCCTGTGAGTCATGGTGTGTGAGGTATGCTGACACTAAATAATCTGCAGAGCACAGTGTGTGTAGAGTTATGTCATGTTTTGTGCAGGAGATGCTTCCAGCTAAAACACCACCTGCATGCACGAGGAAGTGAAGCTCACGTGGGCGGAATAACTCCAGCCAGCAGCTTCTGTAATAACCAACTTTACATAAAGAAATGTGTAGGCCTGCAACTAATCATTTCTGCATCAATCCATAAATTGTTGGGCTTGTAAAATGTCAGAAATTAATGAAGAGTGTCCACGGTGATGTCTTTAAGTGTCTTCTGTTGGTGCACAACTCAAATGTATTGACTACATGATAGACCACACCATAGACTCTATGCATTACATGAATGCACACAATGTACAACAATATCTGATTTTTATTCCATATTTTATTCCTTTTTATGTAAATACTGTTATATATATATTTTTTAAAATCATTTTTAATGTTGTTCTAGTTCTCTATCTGTGTTTTTAATTTTTGTTTTACTTTTATGTATGCACCATGACACATTGTTGGGCTTATTAAATATCAGAAATTAATGATTAGTGTCCAAGGTGATGTCTTTAAGTGTCTTCTGTTGGTGCACAACTCAAATATATTGACTATAACGTGATATACAACAGAGAAAAGCAGCAAATCTTCACATTTGAGAGCCTGTAAGTAGCATTTTCTGACATTTCTGCATCAAAAAATTACTGAAAAGGAGTTGTTTTGTTTCTGCAGCTCTTGAAATGTGCTGTTGCTCTGCAGGTGAAATGTTTTTGTTTCCTCACAAGTGTTCATGCGGTTGTGCAAGGATTTACTTTTATTTATTTTTTAAATTCCTGTGTACACTGTGGGCATGTTTGCTTGTGTGGGATGTTGCCATAGCGACCCAAATTGTAGCATGGTGCTACAGGAACAGTGTGGATAGACAGTGATTGAATCAGCTGTTTGCTACATTAACCTTTGCTGTCTGTGTTTATCCGAAAGTGTCCCGCACGCTGACGCTGTAATGGAGACCGCGCGGGACGTTTTAAACACAACATCCTGCGTGTGAAGATGCAGAAAAGTCAGGAACAGATGCTAACCTCCACCTTCTTCTTCTGTGAGCATGTTCCCATCAATCCCAGTCCCAAAAAGCGTCTCCTGATGCCTCATCCCGTCACTGCCTGCTGTATCTTCCCTTTCCAATTTGTCATGAAACGTGTCCACTCCATCATCCAAACAACACGGCGACACACTCGCACCCACAGCTTCGTCAGCAGAAAGGAGCGACACCATCACGCCTTCATCACAGGAACCAACACTGAGCTCCTGAATATATGGAGAGCGTGCATTAGGGGGGGGGTGAAGCATGAAAAAGGGTCTGAAAACCGTTTTATTTCCAAAGGTCTGAGCAGATTTAACCTAACATCCTGTTTCCTCTCATGTAAAACACACGTGAGGTGAGGAGCAGAGGGAACAGTGTGTGTGATTACGGAGAGCTTCTGCAGGAGGGGGAGCAAAAGTCAAATTGAATTAAATTACAATAATAAGCATTCAACCAATGTGGGAAAGAAAGAAAGACATGGGGGTGGGCAAGGTTAAATAGTGTGTGTGTGTGTGTGTGTGTGTGTGTGTGTGTGTGTGTGTGTGTGTGTGTGTGTGTGTGTGTGTGTGTGTGTGTGTGTCTGTGTCTTCTCTCTCTGCTGCCAGCTCATGGTGGTTTTCGATAGTGTCCTTTCTGATGTGAAGTTGAGGAAGGCCCCTGCCTGGATGTGGGAGCAGTGAATCAGCTCGTACTAATGTACACTCGAGGATGTAACAAAGTACTTTAGTACAAATGTACGGTTCTTATACTTCAGTATTTCCATGTTCTGCTAGTTTAAACTCCCGCTCTACACATCAGAGGTACATATTGTACATTTTAACTCAAAATACATTTATTTTGAAAACAGTTTTTCATGCCCTTTCTGTCCACATGTTTGTGTTGATTTTAAATTCTTCTGATGAACTGAAGGATGTCATGTTCCTTCAGGCATTGAGACATTTCTCCTCCTTAATCTGAACAAAGTCTTCAAAGGCCTCTTGGATCATCTAGAAAATGCATAGAGCTGAAAACGCGGCTGTTTTTGTGAAAAACTCATGAAAAGTGGATTTTTTTTTAGATACACAACACCAAAACATATCATTATTTTAAAATATACGATGCATTTCTGCAAAATAAACTAGCAAACAGTAAGAAAAGGAGTTAAAAATGGTACAATTACAACATAATGCGCCAGTATATTACTAGGGAACATCATTTACAATAGTGAACAACTGACAGG